TTATATATATATATATATATATATTATATACTATATATATATATATATATATATATATATATATATATATATATATATATATATATATATATATATATATATATATATATATATATATATATATATATATATATACAAACCTCAATGTCGTCATTGTTGTCTTACTCGTCGTCGGCGTCTTTATTAATTATTATATCCGGGTTCTTCTGAGCGAGGTTTTGGTACCAGTCGTCATGCAGCCAATTAGCTATTTCTTCTGCTTCTATCAGTCGCTGATCGAGAGGGCTGGAAAGAGGTGTAGTTCTTGGTAATCAGTACAGTCAAGAATGACTGTATTATGAATGAATTGATTATTTCAAAGAACAGATACGTACCCAAAGCTGCGTCCTTTTATTCGGCTTTAAGCGCAGTATAAATATCGGCAGAGAATATCAGAAGAGCTGGGCCTACTTGCTGTTGTAGAAATACGGCCTCCGGTCAGTCTAAAATATCCCGATCAAAACGAGAAAACTCATTGGGTTTTATGTGTATTTAAATTATTTAATTCAAGTTTTTTTTCTCTAATATTTCCAAATGGTTCTAAATTCACTTTGATGGCTCCAATAGCCTGAGTATTTGATATGACTCACTAACGTGGACCTATTTGAGACGATAGTAGATGTAGGATACTATAAACTAAATTTTGAAATCTTTGAAATACTACTTACAGGTTTTGGTCTTTCCGCCAATCTCCAAAATTCAATGTCTTTTTTCTTTTTTTAACTTTTCTTCAGATGTATTTACATTTATATTAGCTAATGTATCTACAATAACTTGACTTACGTTCTTATGTCTATCTACAAATTAGACATCAAACGATCATATTTTACATAGCCTTGTATTCTATTTCAGGTGATAGGGATAATATTGTTTATTCCAAAAGTGGCAAATATGTATGATACAATGTATGAACAGATGGTATGGCTCTCATAGTCGCTGTAGTGGTTCAGGAAAAATTGATGGGAAGAAGTGGTCAGTAAATTCCCGTTTGAAGCTTGGGCCAAGTGAGTCGACAATGGAAGATATGTGCTGAGTCAATTCGGGCCGGTGTTGACAAAACACTGTTACTTTCGAATGTTCCATATATTCGCTTGCTGACCTACTAAGTAGAGTACCCACCTCTGTGGTACGGATCGGGTCTGCGCCGTGTAGTGTCACGGAATGGGTTAGCGCAGAGTACGAAATACCGAGAAGGACCAGGTTATCCGTCATAATCCGGTCGAGAAGCGAGGATGGGGGTAAGCCAATAGGTGTAGATTGTGTACCGAAAACTAATACTTGACTGTTGTATCGGTAAAGATACTTTTTGCGGTGTACACGCTTATAGTTCGGCACTTGGGCCAAAGTCGCTTTACGTGGGCCCACAGGATGCGATTTTGGACAGGGCTCGGGCGTTAATAATTTTATAGTGACGGCTGTCGTATAGACAAGGTCTAAATAGCCTTCTATTTTTTAAATATGTAAAAAGAACATAGGAGGTTATGACGCTATGTAAAGCAGTTTAAAAAATTTCAACATAAATGTCCAGGGTGTTCAATTGTCCACTGCGTATTGACTTGCTACAGAGAGCGAGAGAGAGAGTATCTAGAGTACTAGTAGCAGTTAAATATACTGATGAGTGTAATCCACTGTCTGTTTACTCTATTTACATTGGTCAGTGTCTACTTTAGTGTCTCTGTATTTATGTAAATAAATACATTATAATACATACTCCCCGCTGCGTATTAACTTTATACAGAGAGCGAGAGCGAGAGTATCTAGAGTACTAGTAGCAATTAAATATACTGATGAGTGTAATCCACTGTCTGTTTACTCTATTTACATTGGTCAGTGTCTACTATTAGTGTCTCTGTATTTATGTAAATAAATACATTGTAATACATACATTGTCTGTATTTATGTAAATAAATATATTGTAATACATACATACTTCTCACTGCTTCTGAAGTTCTGCGGAAGAAAAATAAAATACCTTCAATCATTCATTGCTGCCTGACTGCCTGTAACCTGTTGGCTGATGCCTTTTTAATCACGAATGTCAGATTGTCAGGCTGTCAGCTCTTGGACTTTTGGTTTGCACTTTGAATCTTCATGTTCGAACTACATAATAAATAGTTTTATAAAGAAAATAAAATATGAATAAAAAAGTGTTTTATTTTAGAAGCCTATGAAAAGAGACCTGAGAACAAGGTTTACTCACCTCAATTTTCCTAATATAGACAATAGACATTTTACTCTATTTTAATATTTACATAAGTATGTACATTATTGCGTCTGATATTGGTTTTTATAAAAAAAACAATCACAAAACGAAAACAATAGCATAAATTAAAATACATCTTGACTTCTTGTGATTTGAGAGTTGAAGCTTTGAAACTTGAATGAAACCCCTTGGCTTGTAAAAATATATTTTGCTTTATTATACCACAAGTTTCAACTCTTGTTTTTGCTTTTTTTTTTATCAAGGTGAGCTCGGTTATTGCCTCTAGCAACCCCCCCCCCCCCCCGCCCCACAAAATGCAGTTTCGACTTTAGGCGGTTCGGATGTGCTACTTTGTTTAGGGTCCCCTAACCACCCCCTCTGGAATTTTTATTTTTATTTTTGGATTTTTGGTGCATTTTGCACTTTTAAATTTGTACATATAGGCACATTTTAATCCAATATAATACATTTTGGCCAACTATATCGTGTACGTCGAACTGGAATATCTGATGTCGTAAACGATTTACAAAAAAAATTAGAGCTCACTAGAGAGACCATTTATACTAAAGTCCCAAACACTTTGTAAATATCAAGCAATATCTTTTTCAAATACAACAATCTTAGGGTTTGAGAATGTACCTCAAACTAGGGCAAAACTAGGATTCAATGTCGATATCGTAATTTGTTGTCCCCCCCCCCCTTGTATTTGGGCTCAAAATAAACCCTAAAACAAAGGAGTACATCCGAAGTTCCGAACCGCCCTTTTAAAATACAGTATCTGTTTAAAAAAAAGAAAAAGGACCAAGGGCATTAGGGCCAGCTACTAAGCACAAAATTTAATTAACCGCACAGACAATAAATAGTTGAATCGTTGATAGATATAAAAAATATAATAGTTCTGCGTACATCATTGGTCGCAATAAAAACAAATAAATGGCAAATATTTGTCCACCTAGTAGTAGGCGCCAAACAGCCTGAAATTGATGAAAATTGCTCACTGGTTGGCGGCTGCAATGCTGCAATCTGCATAGTGAAATGTTGCCTTTTTATAGAATGTAGGCTATGAAAAGGGGGATTACTGAGTACTGACTACTGAGACATGTGAGTGTAAACTTGTGCAACAACTGATCCTGTTCACAAACGACTTGTCACTTTTTGTGTGGAAGTTGATCTTCCTTCAGAAGTTCATGCTAGGCGAGGGATTTATAAATATTTGCTTTATTTTAGTTAAAAGGACGAGGAAGGAGAAGACTTTCGTCACTAGTTACTTCGTAAGTTGTTCATTACTACTTTAAAAGGTACTTGTACACAGACAATCGCAAAAATGGGTCACGGTATGAGTTCAGAACTTTCCTTCAAGAAATGGGGTGGGCACGCAGCAATAAGATCATACTCAGCGGAATTTATTGGCATGTTTTTCTTTCTCTTTGTGACCATCGGAGTGGTCTGCTCGTTCTACGGCGCCTTAGCAGCGAGTGTGGTAAGTTATTAAGATCAATAATTGTCGATACAAATTTATGTCCCTGCCTTTGCTATCCTGTGGAGTCGTTGTTCTCTCGTTATACCATTTGTCAACTATTTTATGTTGGTTGACAGTGATTTATTTGGTTTAATGTTTTGTGCTTCGCTCGTGGTGAGTTCGTGGTCTGTATTTATTAATAAAGACTCGTGCTTCGTGGCCGTGTTTATGTTCGATTTTGTTGTGCCTTGCTATTTAAATCAACCGCAAAACACGTGTTCCGTCAAAATGCAAACGTGTCAAGCGTGGTCTAGCAATGGCGCCTCGAACTGACATTTTCTTGAACAAATCTGTAGGAGGATTTACTGCCACAGGTTTTTAGTGGTACGGAACGACAAGTGGATCCGGCGTATCAACCACAAGTCGGTGGGAAGTATGCTTTCAATACAGCCATGGTGCTCACTATCGCTTTCGCGTTCGGAATGTCAATTATGGTGCTGGTTTTCTCGATTGCACATATAAGTGGCGGTCACCTGAATCCAGCAGTTACTATGGCTATGGTGAGTGTCCGCTGGAAGTTGCGTGAGGTTTTCAATGTGATCATTTGCGCTCGTTTCTATTTCTTCAATGTGCTTGTTTTCAATTCTTTGGTCACAATCTATCGAAGGATCACTCTACATAGGTTAAATGAATCTTGGCGCGCATATAAAATTCAGTGTCGAAACCTAACTCGTACTCTTCTTCTTTTTCCTCTCTCTTCTTCCTAGATTTGTTTCGGTAAGATCAATGTCATACGAGGCATAGGGTATATTATAGTTCAAACCCTGGGTGCCACATGTGGTGTAGCCATGGTGGATGCTTTGTGGCCAAATCAAGTTACCGATGCTGTTGCCTTTGGTGCTAACGGATATGACCACAATGTTACCAGCACTGCTCAGGTATGGAAGCATTTTATTGAAAATATATGTGGCATAGTGTAGTCAGTGATGGGTATTGCAATTTGGGTTTGTGAAGTAATTAATGGGCGTTCTCCATCATTTGGGGAGTATATGAAACCAATTACTCATTGGTCGCATGGCACAGTTAGTAATGAGATCGCATCGCGGATCTATTCAGTTCGTCTTGGCGGCAAAGCGTTGTTATTGATGGGTATTGCAACCTTATGGGATGTCAGTATGCATATCGAGCATAGCCACTCATTGGCTGTATAAGTGCCTGATATACAGTGGAGAATGTGTAATCGTGAGCTTGACAAGGTTAATCGTGACAGTACGGTGTGACAGTACGGTCAAATGGCAAATTCGATGTTTCAAGCAGTTGTACTTAAAATGCATTTACAATCGTGATGTAAACTAACTGTACACATTCTCTATCCCCCTCTCTCCGCTTATTTATAAATAGGCGTTCTTCATAGAGTTCTTTGGTACTGCCCTGCTAGTCTTTACCATTTTTGGTACTGCAGTTGACCCCAGAGGATCCGAATTCGCGCATCACAACGCCCCTATCGCTATTGGCTTCGCAGTGTTCCTAGCACATATTATGATGATTCCTGTTACAGGATGTGGAATCAATCCAGCCCGTAGTTTTGCATCAGCTGTGGTTTCAGGCTCTTGGGACGATCAGTGGTTATACTGGGTAGCGCCACTCTGTGGTGGACCATTTGGAGGTGCACTCAACTACTTCGCGTTCCAATGGAAGAACAACCCCGAGGACGAGGCAGGTATTATGGCCGCCGGAGCTCAAGAAGGTGACCCCGAGTTGGCAGAACGTCACACGCCAGCAGCCGTGGCCGGGCAGGAGTCCACAGTGGGTGTACAGAGCACCGCCCCTGTGACTACCCGCTCGAAGTAAACTGTGAAGCGTCAGATATCAATAACGCGAAGGGTTGAGTTTGATAGTGATACTTAAAAAGTATAATATAGGATAAGGTATAGAGAGAGGATTGCGCTCACAATTGCACTCCCGAAGAAAATCATAATGGATGCCAGGGTACGAATAGAATGAACTCATCCGAACACGGACGAGAACTTCTGCTGGATGGTATCTTACTCAATCAGAGTGTGCATATGCCGACTGCCAGATCTTAGCATCCCTCGAGTGCTCCAGTATTCTCATGCCCAATTAAACTAAGAGGTCACACGGGTATCCCATGAAACTGTATTGCGGCGCGGAATACGCGGTAACATACATCTGCGAGCATCACTAGGTTGTGGAGATCACGCAAGCGAAGCGGACTTCAAGCGCAAGTGAAGGCAAGACCTGTGCCTAGTCGAAAAATTAAACACATGTACAGCAATCACTTTCAGAAAATTAATTGGAAATTGGGAACAAATAGTCAATTCAAACTGGAGAAATAGATGTGATCGAACTGGAGATTACAAAGTATATGCTTGTGGAATTGAATAATACCAACGTTTATCAACGTATCGTCATCTAAAATAAGGCTGCAAAATCCAAGAAGCAACCATCTAAAGAAAAGTTGGTCGGGTTTTTGTCAAGATAATTACAATATTTAGAAATATTCAGTAACATTCAAGGAGCTGCCTTTTTATTCAAGAAGCTATCATATACAACTATTGTGATGCATGTGAGATGTGATGCGGTGTGATGGGCATGCATGTAGGTTTGATGTCGAGAAGTATCCACAAATTATCTGAATTCAAAAAAATAGGCAATCATTATGGTAGCATTTGCCTGTCTGTCATAGGTGGTCGTGTAAGTCAGTCTTTATGATTGTTAAATGTTGCCGCGGAAGTAAGTGCTTATATTTGTTAAAGGTTGCCGTGGAAAACAGTCACCATGACCAGACAGTCCCCATGGTATTGTACCGATATATATGTCAATGTCGACATTACTAAAAAAAATGACCATGTGATAGAGCCCATGCTGGCTGTATTGGCTAATGTGGCATTTATCTTGAATTGGCACAAGAATGAGAAACTATGGCTGAATTCACATTCTACACAAACCAGCATTCGGGTTAAGTCCTTAATGATCAATACTGGAATCTTCGAAGGAAGCCTGTTCTTCCAGCCAGATCTGTAATTTTAAAATTACTGACACATTTTATCAGGATCCAACTGGTGTTTTCCCAGCCTCAAGTCCAGTGTGATCGAATCAGTCCATATTTCAGAACCATCATGTACGTACTGCAGGGGGTTTTAGGGTTTTACGCGGGAAAAAAATATTACCCGGTCTATCCGCATCTCACATCAGTGCTATCTCTTTCAACCGTATGAGGATTACTCGCGGTGGTTACGCAAATCACGAGTACAATTGGACATGACCACATATACAAAACATAGCCTCCTGAATAAACAAAGGGAGGACTTTACCGAAATAAAGTCAGCCTATGTAAATTTTTGAATACCTTAAAAGTCTATAAATAGATTCCTGCACCGGGAAAGTGGGAATTTGAATTTCAGTATGTATTTGTGATCGATAGATAGCAGAGTTTTATATCAATAGATAACCCAACATTGTACAGCACAGAGTGAGCCTATGACCCAATGTATGTTCCCCCTTTAAAAAAAAAAAAACTAAATATATTTATTTTAGACGCTGATTGTATTATTAAAGAGGGCTATGGCTGATGAGCGTAATGATAAGAGCAAAGCTGTCTGTTGGCAAGTGGCAACAGTGGCAGTTCAGTATATAAATAGCTTGTCATGATCGAATCTTGTCAGTGAATCAACTTCAGTTGGATACTACTAATACTACAGGCAGATATCATGCCCATGGTCCCCATTTTCAGCTCAACGCAATCATTTAGTTGTCGAGGAACAGTGCACCTAATTTCAGGCGACAAGGGGCTTACGTCTTAATGTGGCTAGGCATAAGACAATACCAGCCTCGACACCGAAACAGAACAGGGTGTCTATCAAAGTATTGCGCTATTCACCACCATCAACATGGATCAGAATGACGGGAGTAAGAAAGGTATCACACTAGTTTTGTCTGCTGTCTGTTATAATGTCATGGTGTATGAATTGCAGTGCTATAGTCGTGTGCATCTCAGAATTTTATAATCACCAGCCTGATAAACAGTGTGGGTAATTCTATACAAAATGATAGAACTCAATCGAACGAGCATATTCAGTGCGTTACACAGCAATATGGAGAGATATATCATCAACTAAATGCATATATCTACACAGACACACGTACCCACACACACACAATACACGCGCACCCACAAACACCCACACACATACCCAAAAACAAACACATAAACACATACACACACGAAACACACACACATATATATACACACACAGGCAGACAGATATATA